CTAAAGTATTGCAAACAAGGATGTGGATAATTCAGTATCGTTTATAAAATCTGTCTTTGCAATCTAAAGAATTATAAGGCTTTTTTAGTTACGGGTCTGGTTTTGGATTTGGTTTTAACATAAATCTATAAACCGTTGATGTACATAGTTGTACTATATTGGTTTTATATTTGTATTTTTCTTGTTTTATTATTTTTTATTGTTTTGTCTTTTTTCTCAAATATTTTCCATCTGCTGTTGGTTGAATCTGCAGATATGGAGGGCCAACAGTATTCTGCTTTCCTTAAAAAAATTTCTTGGTTGTTTAGAAATTTTAATGTTTGTGAAACATAGGTTAAGATAAGGGGAATTTTATTCAAAGAATCAAGGCGAATACCCACTCTATACAAAATACAGTACGAGGCATAGTGTTAAAGATGTTATCTTTCAAGGCATTTATATTCTAACAGGATAAGAAACATGTAGGTAATTATGATGAAAGATAAGGTATGTTATCTTTAAGTTCTTTCTTAATCTCCTAATTGGTTTCCAACTTTTAGCTTCCAAATCTTTCTTGAATCTTTCTCCTTCTTTATACCCCTTTAATGCAGATCCTTGTCATTTCTCTTCTGAATTAAAGTATTTTTTTGAGTGCCTCTTAAGTGGCAGAGCCTGTGTTAGACATTGAAGATGCAGTGGTAACAGTATTTGCCCTCAAAGAGCTAACACTCTTACCAGGAAAGACAACATTAAATAAGAAATTACAGCAGAACAGGGGTTGCCAAACTGTGGCCCTGAGCTAAGAATGGATTTTTCATTTTTAAAGGATTATTAAAAAGAGTGCCTGGGCAGCAGAGTGAGATCCCATCTCTTGAAAAGAGAGACAGTATGTGACCCCACAAAGCTTCAGCCATCTTGGTCTACTTCTACATACCTACAGATACGCCGTGCTCTTTCTCACCTCCAAAAGGCACATCACCTTTCATCCGTGTGCTTTTGTCTGAAATGCCATTCTTTCCGTCCCCTTGCTCCCTGTTCTTCAGCTGACTGCCTCCAGTTTATCCTTCCTGAGCTGAGGAATCCTTTCTTCCAGAAGATGCTCCTTCACAGTCTCAGTTATCTTTCTTTGGAGGCCTATGCTTCCCTTTATGCTAGCTCTTACAACATTGCATTAGGAATTGCCTTTTTATTTGTGTGCTTCTAGGGGCTAGGATGGGACCGTGTCTTATTCCCTTCAGTGTCCCCATTGCCTGGTACATAACCTCCTCCTTGCCATATGCCTGCAAATGCTACGCTGATTTCTTGGATGTTGTGTGAGTGTCAAAAGTCCTGGAGGAAGAACCGTGTTCTGCAGCCTCCAGGGCTGTGTGAGATCCACAGAGCCCAAAATTCTTGCTCTTGGAATGTTAGGTATGAATGAGAAGGATACATCTGCAGAATTAAAGACCAGGCCTTCTTGATTAGGAATGTGGGAAACCTGACTTAAAAGTAGCAAAATCACGGGAAATGAGGAAAAGGGGACTGGGACATAAAACTGAGAATTTAGAGAAAACAACCCGAGGTAATTGGAAAGTGACTATTAAATTTTTTGCTTTCTAGAAGAGTAATGTAAATCTTTATATAAAAAGTTAACCGTGCAGTGCTGAGGTTGGATTGCTTATGTGAATGGACTTGCATGTGCTGTAACCTATCAGTTATTATGGTTCAAGACTTTAATATAAACATATTTGGCTATTTAGTAATAAAATTATGCCTGTGAATAAACCATAATATTTGAAGTGTCAAGTATTAGTTGCCAGCCTAAAAATTTTAAATATGTCGTATGCTATTTATAGGAAAAACAGTAACTTAAATATGTTCATAGTTTTCTCTATTTGCATGAACATGTTTTTTATTGCTTCTAACCAGATTGGTATCTATAACTTTTTATAATAATCACTGAATCTGTTCTAAAGGAATATTTTGGTATTTACATGATCTACTCAAGGTGGCAAGTAAAGAAATGGACTTTTTAAATTGCAAATTACATGTGATTAACTAGCATGGATTGCTTCTTGACCTGCTTGTTTTGTGTTTGTCTTTTTCTTCTAATATAATAACCAGGGATTAATGAAAATCAAGTTCCATCCTCAGATAAGAGGTAAAGTTCACGTATTCTTCCCCGTATCTCTTCAGGAAAGAAAGCTAGCTAGATATAATTGAAGTGAACTTAGCAATGGTGAAACTGCTTCTCTGTGATCTAGATTGGCAGGGGCCAATTTCAGAAGTGGCCAACTTGTGGGAATGTCTGGGCAATGCTAGTGGGCTTTTATTTTTTTTTAATTTACTAAATGTGTTGATCACAGAAAATGTAGATATAAGAAAATAAACTTTAAGGATAGACAGCATTATTTTGAGATAGGTTGGTGAAGAGTGGTGGTTCTCCAACTTTGTGGTCTCGGACTCCTTCATGTCTGATTTAACAGAAGGCAGCTAGATTCTTACCTATTTCTGTGTTAATTTTTTTGTGATGTCATGCATCAGGTAGCCCCTACAGAATTCCACGGTGTACTCTTGAGAGTAAAACAGGCAAATAACATTATTATGAAAATAGTTTTGCCTTCATGAGCCCCATGAAAGGTTCCCCAGATCAAAATTTGAGAATCACTGGAATAGGGTAACATTTTATTATATAAATTCAGTTTATACCCCACTTAAATATGTATTATCTCTTGACATTGTTTTTTTCCCAAAAATATATTACTTGATTTTTACTTGTTCTGTACTTTGTTTTTCAGGTAAAGAAGGAAAATTCAGCCAGCTGATTTGTTTTTAACTTACTGCTGTTTTGTCAGAAGAAGTTGTTGCTCCACTGTTTGAATGAAGACAGCAAGATATTTGTAAATTATCTTACAATAAACAACTTAAAATAAGAAAATCATTGTCTTATAAGAATAGTTAAACATTTTCAAAATGAGATGATGCTAAAATATTTTAAAATATGAACATGCTACTATTAAAAATTTTTAGTAGAAGATCATTTAAGAGTTTCTTCCGATTTTACAGTTCTCCGCCAACCGTAGCAAGTCCAGCCTCTGGGGCTGCGGTGGAAGGAAGGGACTGCAGGCTACCTCAGCCCCAACTTCCGCCCTTTTGCGGCCTTAAGGAACGGTCAGTCAAATGAACAGAAGTGCTCCAAGAGGCATTTGCTATTTCTCATGCATAGGATACAGAGTTCCAAGCATATATTTATTATAATTTGTGGGTTTTTTTGGCTGGAAAGCAGAGGCCCACAGCCAGAGCCAGGCACATGTGCTTCCATTATAAATTTGTTTTTAAAACATCTTTCCGAGCACTGAAGAAAGTATGATGTTCATATTTAGGTAACTACTAACACAGGCTGCCTGAAGGCTGATTCCACACATGAAGTTGGCCATGCTAAAACGTCAGGGTTTTTAAATTACAAAAGTAATATATAAATTCCAATGAAATATAAAATAAATAAAACATTCTTAACAGTTTGATGTATGTTACTCTTGGCTTTTAAAAACCATTAAATAAATGTATATACTTAGAAATGATTTTTTAAATATTTTACCAACTATATGTGATTCGTGTAGAAATTGATTAGCAAGTGCAGACCTGTAAAGAGATCAGTACTGCCGCTGTGTAAGAAAGAGAAAAGAAACTGACCAGAGCCTCAGGGGGCCTTTCCTAACACCCCTGAATCTTACAGGAGCCACTTTGGGGAAACAGCTCACCACAGCTGAGGCATCAGGCAGAGGTGTAGTGTGAACAAAGTCCCAGACACCTTGCAGGAATGTTGGCTTGCAGATACTGATATGGGTGTGTCCCCTCCCTCCCAAAAAATGACCCAACCAGATCACCCCTCAGTGAAGCTCATGGCCGACAAGCCCCAATCCCGAGTCCAGAGCCTCTCATCAGCCCATCAGGCGGCTGGGAAAACTCAGAACAGGAATTGGCAAACCAGGGCTGAGGAATAATAGTAAATATTAATAGTTTTACATTAATTAGTATCTGCAGGCCTGTTTCATCAGATTCTTCAGAGAAGAGTCTTCTAGACTCCTTCCTGAAGGCAGGCCTGAGAGCCAGCACCTGTGGGCCAGGTCAGGGATCTTGGCATTCAAGAACTCAGCTCGCGGGCCAGCACACGCACCATCCGCACTTACAGTGCCTGATGGCCTCAGTCCAGAAACCCTCCTTCACTGCCTCAAGAGCAAACCTCTGGGCTCTGCCAGGATTGGGGGGGGGGGTGGCTGTCACCCGAGGGTGCCACATGAGGGAAAGCATCCAGCCTCCAAAGTCATGTTATTCCTGTTGTCTCTTCCGCTCCCTTGGCCCTTGTGATTTTTGCCTTTTGAAAAAAATCCTTTGCTGATGTCTTTCTTAGTTGAGTATGGGATGAGTGAAAGTGTGTATGTGTGCATTTAATCTGCCGTCCTTAAGTGGAAGCCCAGAAGAAGGGTTTCACAAGAAAGGGTTCTATTACGCATACAGTTTTAAACTTGGACATTCCGTGCTGATACATAAATATCTAACTATTGGTAAACATAGGCTTTCCAGTTTTTCATGACTGAAACTATTGAATAAGCATCCTTGGGCAAGTCTCTGCATAGTCATCTGAGGGTATCTCTGTGGACTTAGTTATTAAAAATGGAAGCGATGACTGTACCTTTTAACATTTAATAGACATTGCCAAATTGTTCTTGAAAAGGTTGTAAACTTGGATCAACAGTGTATGAGACTGATTCCTCCATTCTCTAAAACCTTGTCTATCTTTCTAACAATCTGATGACTGAAAATACAATTGCCCACTTGTTGACCATTTTAATTGATTTTTTTTTTACCTTTTTCTCATTGAAATGTGAGGTCTCTGCATATTAGTGACAACCCTTTTATTTGTGTTGCAATTTAAAATTGGGGAAGTTTGTGTAACTGTTGTTAGACAAAGACACATTTTCAGTTTTTTTACTCTACTTTTAAATACTATCTGGTTAACTACAAAGGAAACCAAAATTCAATGCAGGGAAGTAGCATTTTTATTAGAAATGTTGCATTTCTCCTATACTACTTTCTTATAGACCCAGCATAGGGTCTTGAGAAATAAAAGTGAACAAGGTCTTAATTTGCTTTACCAACAACTCCACATAAGGGAATATAGTTTTGTGTGCACAGAGTAAGTGGTTAGTGAAAGGAATGAAATAAATCAGCTCTGCACCCTCTCCACCTAGAGAACAGGCACCCTGCAGAGCCCTGAACATCTCAAAGGAGCCCGCAGACAAAAGGAAATGTAAATCTTTCTGTGACTAAAACTGCCTTTAGCATCTGTTTCTATAGCCTGGAGTAGTTCCTGAGAAGTTCCTGGATGACAGCTTGGGGGACAATCTCCAGATGTCAAAGGCAGCCCCAAATCATAGATTCTGGGAAAGGTCACTTTATCCCTAAAGCAAAGGGAACGGATGCAGCAGTTTCACACAGCAGATTCCATTGTTTACTTGCTGTTAAGAAGACAAGAAGGAGTAGATAATGGCAATTCACAACAATAACTATTTTTCTTTTCATCTCCATAAAAGCATCAAGCCACTTGGCCTAGCTCCTGGCATCTCCATTCTTTTTCTTTGGCATGCCAGGACATCTCCCTGCTCTCTCCCTCTCTTCCACCTCTTTCTTTCTCTCTCAATGGTCTGGAATGCTAGCTCAGCCCTTACCAGCTGTGATCTTGGGTGGGTTATGTAGGTAGTCTTTCACTTGTAACATCTGTAAAGTAGAGATTAAAATAGTGCTTCCTTCATAGGGTTGTTAGGAGGATCAAATGAGCTAATTAATATTTACAAAATACTTAGAATCTAACATAGTAAGTGTTATGTACATTCATGGTTAAGTGATCTATGTAAAAATGATTACCAGTTCAATAGAGCATTAGTGATGCTCTTCTGTGTGTTGGCACTCTTACACCCTGAAGATACAGCGATAATTAAAACACCTATAGGAGTTTACAACAAATTATGACAAATGCGATGTGTTGTAATTAGGGAGGACACATAAGGGGGACACCAACTCATATCTGGGGGGAGATAAGAGACAGGGAAGGCCATCCGGCCTGCAGGAGGTGAGGTCTAAACAGAGTTCTCAAGGACCAGCGACCAACAGTATAAATTAAACTACTAGAACAAACCTATGGGGTGGGAAGGCATTTAAGGCCGAGGAAGCAGAATAAACAAAAGTCTCAGGTCAGGATTCAAACAGTCTGAGAACTGCTATCCGAGGAGGAGAAGGGCAGGATGATCTGGAAAGGCACAGGCTGTGCCACTCTGGTTTGGACCCATAGGAAGGGGTCTTGAAGAGTAAGCGTGACATTTTCCCCCAAGTTACATCCTCTCCTTTAGCTAAGTGTCATAACAGTGCAGTTAGTGATCAATGTTTTCTACTAGTGAGGCTTATTACACAACTTGAACCGCTATCATATTTTTTTGAAAACATTTAGATAGTACCTAAAGAGCTAGGTCTGTTAATGTTAATATTCTAGTATTGCATTTCCATCATCACAATCCCTGTTGTCTATGATTTGCCCTTTAGGAACCTTTGTTTGTCTGTCTGCCTTAACGTGGAATATTTGCAGCTTTCAGACACTTTATTATTATCATTGGAAACTTTCTAAGCTTGAAATTTGTGAAGTCACTGAGCTCCTGCTGGCACCAACCAAATAAAGCCATGATGCCCTTGCTGAAGTCGGGGCCCACTGGTGCCCAGCTGGAACCCTCTGCTAGCACGGACCTCTGCACCCCAGAACTCGGCTTTGCTACGTTGCCCTCAGTACTTGCATCATCCTCCAAGACAGAATGATAAGAGCCAGAGTCTTGGAGTGAACAAGAGGTCTGCTCTCAAGAAGAAAGCTCTGTCTATAGATCTTGTGCCCCGCACTAAGCCATCTACAAACAATGGACTCTTCACTGCTCCTTAAAAAACTTAAATTTTTTAAGTTACAAAAGGCATTTGGGGACAATGGGAAAAATCTTAATATGCACTTTATTTGGGGTGATGTTATCGTATCAGTGTGTTGAGTGTGATTGTGGTATTGGGGTCTGGTGGGAGGGGTGATGTGCCATCTAGAGTCCCCTGGGGGGGGGACCTCCAGGGAATGCAAGGAGCACCCAGCCCTCAGCTGTGACTGGCTCTGGAATTGCCTCAGCTGGAGACCACCACGCCCAAGGTCTTGGCCCTCTCCTGAAGCAGCCCGCATCCGGTGCCTGAGGCCGGACAGCTCCCAGCTTTAAGGCTTTCCTTTGGGTTGGCTGAAGCCTTCCTAGAGCGTGAGCTGCAGCTCGAAGTCTCCCTCCCACAATACTGCTTCCTGCTCCGCCCTCCTCCTTTCCTCCTCTCCCCCCCTTCCTTAGGTGGTAAGCCCGGAAGCACCTCTCCACAGGCTAATCTCCACCTCAGAGGCTGCCTCCTGGGAGTCCAATTTGGGACAGTTTAAACTAGAGGGGCCTGAGGAAGCAAGTACAAAGATGGAATTTTGGAGCTGGATCACCCACCTGGCTGGCGTGGATGGTAAGGACTTCAGCACTGATGGCGGATGGAGCACAAAGGTGCTACCTGGCACACGGTAGCAGCTCCTGAGTGTGCAAGTCCTAAAACTTCCACCAGTGGGCAACTAGGGTGGTGTAACAGTGGGTACGATCTATCGAACAAGATATTCAAAAAATATGAAGATCATGGGACCCTGAAATAAGAGACCAGGTGGCAGTGCTTAACTGCTTATGGTCAGAAACCTGGTGAATGCAATTATAAGGGGCAAGAAACATTAGAGAGGGTGGGCTCACCTGGTGAGTTACGGCGTTTGTTCACAGAATGATGAACCCCTGACTGAGATCGACGGGTAGCCAACAAGTAGGCTACTCAATCTTTCCCACCAAAATACCGCAAGGATGGGTAACAGGTGGCCCCAACAACCAGTCATGATCCCTTGCCCAGTTTCGGGGTCTGAGCCACTTTCAGACTGAAACTTTTATCTACAGAAGGACAGACTGAGTCTTCGGGAGGAGGGAACGCTGCAACACCAAATGGATAAGGTAAGAATTCCCCGCACTCCTTCCACAAAAGAGCCGACGGCCATTGACTCAGGTAACCCCATTGACTCAGGTAACCGTCCACTGGGGAAAGGGAATGCCCACGCGTTTTGAGGACTGCTGAACAGAGGGCCTGAGCTGAGAATGGAACCAAGGCATGCAGCGTCATCGGGGCCCCTTGTTAGACTGGGGGCACCTGAGACCGGGCGAGGCTCACACTGGTCCTCGGCGTTTATGGGCCTACTCAGCGGCCAGTGGTCCCATCGTATTTCATTTCATTTGACAGTCTGGTTCCTGCAAACACGAGAGGCAGCTGGAAGGGTGAGAGTGAATTACTGCAATTGCAGCTGCCGTGTCAAACGTGGCATCTTTGCTAGAGGAGACACACACTGTCTCAGGCACAAGACATGTGGCCACTGGTTGATGACAGCAGACTTTTCCACCCCAAACAGAAAGGATCACAAATAGTTTATATTCACTTGGAACAGACAACAGTATATATTTTGGTCTTGCCTGAGAGCTATGTTAATTCTCCCACCCTCTGCCGTCATATGCAAACAGTCCCCGACTTACAGTGCATCAACTCATGATTTTTCAACTTTATGATGGTGCGAAAGCAGTATGCATTCAGTCGAAACCACACTTCGAGTTTTGGTCTTTTCCTGTGCGCTAGCCATATGTGGCACAGTATTCTCCCACGACGTTGGGCAGTGGCAGTGAGCCGCAGCTGCCAGTCAGCCACGTGAGCACAAGAGTAAGAATTCGTTTTGATAAGAGAAACAGACGCATATGGTGGGTATGGATTTGCCTTTCCTGCTCATAATGTTTGATCCACTGGGCTCCCCTTTCCTGCTGAGTCAGCCCCAGGGACCCATTTTACAATAAAGGAGGTGTGTGAGGGGCATAAGGCTGTGAAATCCACTGGTCATGCCATACACAATACCAACGCAGAAGCTGTTTGCGACAGAGCCAAGGAAAAGCCTTTTGTAGGCACAGCTAAAGCACAAGCTCAGGTGGTACCTTAGGATGGGCTGCGATCTCCCAGGGTGCCACACATACTCTTGACAACTTTTTTTTCCCTGGTGCTGTGTTCCTAACAGGCAGACGACACAGGGTAGAGGCTGGGGTTTCCCCACCTACCATCACTCCTACCCAGCTGCTCTGGATTCCCCAGGTTTATTGATCCGATTTCCAAAAAGGAGAATGCTTTCACCAGGGGAAACAGCAGGAGTCCCACTGAAATATTAGCCACAGTTGCTACCTGGGCACTTCCTCCAAGAGACTGCAGCAGAGGGAGGAGTCACCGTCCCAGCAGGAGTGACTGACTCTGGTCTTCAGGAGGGTGGGTGGGTGGGTGGGGAGGGTGCTGCTATCACACAGTGGGAGGAGAGTTTGGCTCCCACATGGTCTGTCTGGGTGCCTGTTAGTACTTTCTTGCCCAATTCTGATGGTAAAAGGAAGGACAAGTTCAGCAGCCATAGTCTGAAAGGGTATGGAAACCAGAGGCTCAGACCTCCTGTGCATGAGAGCCTGGGTCATGCCACCAGGCAAGCCACTGAGACTAGAAGTGAGAGAAATCTAGAATGGATAGTAGAGGGGGAAAACTAATATCTACTGAGGCACAGCTGCAGCAGTAGGGACTTGTAGGGGCTTTGATTTGTTTCCTGGACTGTCCTCTCTAGCGTTGCTTCCCCCTCCCCCCCCCAGGGTAAAGGGGTGGACTGTGGTGACTATTATTATGCACTGCTCAGAGTCCCCCAGGACTGTCCTGTCAGCTGTCCTTGGAATTGAACTGACTCAGATGCAGAGAGCACCACTACCTAAGATCACACACCCTTTCTTGGGCAGCCCTCATGCAGTGATCTACCAACACGGGAATGCAAAAGTCCAGCCTTCTTGTCCCAATTCAGGACAACACTGAAGGGCCACCCCAGCTTCAACACTCTCTGTGGGTCTGGCTGAGGCCACCCACCCTTGGCAGTCTGGTGTCCGCACCTTCCCTTCCACAGGTGGTAGCCCAGGAGGACACCTAAATAAACCTTCCCCAGGCTCATCTCAAAGTTAGCTTCCTGGAAACCAAACCTGTGACATATGGTCATGCCTATGGTTCTATGGGGGGAGTGTTCTCTTTTGGGGAGATATGCTGAAGTGCTGTGGGTTTAAGTGTCATGAAGTTTATAACATCTTCAAACTGTTCTGGGAAAAAATACTACTCGCATGTATATATAAATACAAAATTATCTAGTGAATGAGGTAAAATGTTAACAATTGCTGAGTCTAGTCTAGATGAAGTGTATACCTGTGTCTATGATTTTGTTGTAACTTTTCCATAGGTTTGAAATTTTCCAAAATAAAAGTTGAAGGGATTAATGCGCCCCCACCCCCATACACAGGCAAGTGAAGAGGAACAGAGGGGTGGAGAGGCATGTGTGAAATCCAAGGTACAAGAGAGTTTCAAAGTTAAGGTAATGTTCAACATTATCAAATGGCTACAAAATGATCAGGTAAGGCTAGCGCTGTAAAGCATCCCACAGATCGAGGAACAAAAAGGTCCCTGATAGCCACTGTACTCCAGCCTGGGCAACAGAGCAAGATTCTGTCTCTTAAAAAAGTCCCTGATAATCTTGGGGATGGAAGTGTCAACAGAGTATATCATAGGCATCTTGCCATCTAGTACCTTGCTTCTCTGCAGATTGTCAGCTGACGTACTACCGTATTTTCAATTCCGCTGGGTTTTAAAGACTTTAAAAAATATTGAATATCTATTATGTTCAGAATTCAGGAATAGTCCCTGGAAAGGATATAGAGTCACTCCAAAGGTCACAAATTTACTAGGGGAGCCACTTACACTTGTACACTAAATACACTGTGATATAGGTACAGAAGGGCATATTTAAGACATTGAGTGCATCAGCCATTTCAACCTGGCTACCCACAGGCTGAATCTAGCTAGCCTAACTGTGGAATTAGTTTGGCTTGCAAATTAAAATTTAAAATGTGTTCCCAATATTGTATTTAAAAAAATCAAGATGCCACAAAATCTCGATTTCTGGCATCTCAGAAAGATCCAGAAATATTTAGCTGGAGCTGGAAGAAGGCTCTGGAATAAGGCAGTCGTTCCCAGGACACTCAGCCTGCGTCAAGGATTTAAGGTACTTGTTTGGCCTCTGTTGACAACCGGGTTCCTCATTCCCTGGACGGATCACAAGGGCAATGGGCAAACTGGCAAATTAAAAGTCCACCGCCAGCTCACCTGCTTTTGTAAAAATAAAATAATACAGTTTTATTAGAACCAAGGCTAAGATTAGATGAGGTTGAGTGAGGCTGGAGTTTATGGCATGAATTTGGATTATTATTATTATTTTTAGAAAAGCCGTATTAAAATATTATTGATCTCGATCACTGAGTTTTTGGGGAGCTCTCATTAATCCAGCACAGAGGCCTCACCCTAGTCCCGGCCATATTGTGAAGGACTCAGAGTGACATGCTGAACGGCTTGGACGTTATTTAATCTACACAGTGGCAAGCAGTTCCCTTTTTTTTTCTCTTTAGCAGAGGCAAGACCAGATCAGATCCGCATTTGGGGGAGCGCCCCAAATTTCTAACCCTTAACGCTCCACATTATTGACATCATTAACGCTAACTCTCTAACATTTCAATGTCATGTCCCAGTTCCCTCGTTTGCCCCTAAAACACACAGTCCCCCCCCCCTCCCTCCTCCCCAGGTGAGCGCCCCCGCCCCGGGAAAGGCCCCAGCACCTGCAGTCCCGGGCGCACCCTTCTCCTGCGCCGCGCATGGCCACTTCCGGCCGCCTCCCAGGCCTGCGGGGCGATACCCAGAGCGTCGCTCCGCTCCCACGGGGCGGAGCTTCCTCATCGGCGCGATCGGCGTTCGCCTCGTGCTGCCTCGCCCCGGCGGCCGTCCAGCGGGAGGCGGAGCGAGTCCAAAATGGCGGCTCTCAGGCAGGCGCGCTCCTTGCTGCTGGGGCTTTGAGGTGGTCGCCCGGGCTCCAGGGGGACGATTTCCCCGGCGCGGGGGCCCCAGAGGATGAATCGGGGGCCCTGCTAAGGCCAGGCGGCGGGGCCGGAGAGAGGTGGCAGCGCGGGCTGCGGTGGCGTCCACGCAGCGGGATGTGCGAGAGTTACTCCAGGTCGTTGTTGAGGGTCTCGGTGGCGCAGATCTGCCAGGCGCTGGGCTGGGACTCGGTGCAGCTCAGCGCCTGCCACCTCCTCACCGACGTGCTGCAGCGCTACCTGCAGCAGCTGGGCCGGGGCTGCCATCGGTACTCGGAGCTCTGTGAGTACCGGGCTGGGTGCGGGAGGGCTGCCCCGGCGAGTCACGAGTGACACCTCCGGTCTCCCCGCGTCCCTCCCTCGGCGTCCCCGCGCCCCGCGCCCCGCCCTGGGGTCTGCCCCCTCCTCAGCCCCCGACGCCCTCCCCCTCACCCCGGGCTTCCACTGCCCCTGCAAACTCCAGTCATCCCCGGGGTGCCTCTTCCTCATCCGCTAACTTCCCGCCACCAGCCCGGGAACCCCGGCTCCGCTCCCGGCTCCACACCCTCCCGCCCGCTCCTCCGCGCCTCGGTGCGCCTCGGTCCTCCTCATTGTCTCCCGGGTGCGGCGGGTCGCGTCGCGCCCCCACGGGATGCCCCACAGACCCGCTCTCGCCCTGGTCCTTTTCCCTCTCTCGCCCGCAAACTACTACAACTAGTTGTCACAGGCGCTCCGTCTACCGGCCGTTTCATACAAGGACTGGCCATTCTTTAGCTCCCGACTACACGGGGCTGGTTGACAGCTCTGCTCCGTTAGAGACTCTGCCTCCTCTTCCCTCTGTGCTCCTTCGTTTCCCAAATAACACCTCCCCTCAGCGTTCCCCAAGGTCGACTTTTGTCACTTTGGCCGGCTGGATTAACTTTCACTTGCGTCTCAGTGACCCCCTTGATTTCCTCCTCTGTGTGTGTGTATGTCAGTGGTCTATCAAAGTGTGATGGATAGAGGGATCACAGGCAATTTACAGGGTCCTCCAGCTAATCTGGGCTACGGTATTTATGGGTTTCAGGGGAATGTGTGGTAGTATCTGTAGCTAATGGCATTTAATAATTTGATAGAAGGAATGGAATATTTTAATGGAAGCTCACATCATCATGTTGGTGTGAAGCAAGCATTTGTGTGTGTTGGGGAGGGGTGGACTACTGCTTACTTAAGCTTCGGGTCCTGATTTTTTTTTTTTTTAAGGTGTAGTAAAGCTGGAGAACTGGATGAAGTGTTCCGTAGGATATTTTGTTAAAGTTTTTCCTAGACTGAAAAATTGAGACCCGTAGATACGCTGTACTTCTCAGGCCCCAAATTCCATTCCTATTTGCATAGTGCTGCCAAAATAATCTCTCCCCAACACAAATCTGAGCCTGTCATTCTTCTCAAAAATATTTCAACTGCACTCCATTGGTTACAGGCTAAACATCTAAACTCTTAGCAGCACACAGTTCCCTTTGTGAGCTAGCATTTTTCTTATCTTCTGCCCCCCTGCCATACTAATCTGCAACCGTGCTGAGCTACCTGCCTTTCCAGAATGTTTTAAGCTATCCATTCCTATATGCATGCTGTTTCCTAGAGTGTCCTTCACCCCTGGTCCACTAGCAGTATTACTTATGGTTTTGGGATGTACTTACCACTTGCTCTAGGGAACTCATGTTATCTGCTCTCATAATTCTATGCATATTTCTGTTATGTTATTCATCACCTTGTTTTGTAATCCTCTGTGTATGTCTCTTTCCCTGCCTCAGGAGACAAACTGATTATATTTGTATTCTGTAACATACTTTGGGGTCATAATATAATAGGCACCCAGAAAATATTTGTTGAATAAATGAATAAACTGATAATCCACAAACATAATAGCTATTTATTGACTTCACATTTTGAGTTCCAAAAATGTGTGTGTGTTGAACGCTTGATTTCATTGATACCTCTAAATTTGGAGCTGCAGAGTGATGTGCATTCATTGTTATCTTTAAAGTCCATCATTAGCAGAATACTCTCCTGGCTTTTGCTTTTTTCCTGTGTGGACCCCTCCATGGTCCTTGAGTACACTGTTACTGTTATGCTAGTATTATAGCATATAGAGTATATTCTTGCTACTAGGTTCTCTAAATAAGGACAAATGTTCTGTACCTTTAGGTACTCAAAATATCCCCTGACACATACTTTCTTGCCTCATACACATCCAGAATCTGTGCTGGCCCTCAGGGTTACTAGGTATTCCAAAGTCATCAAGTGTTCATTGTTATGCTTAAATGTAAACCTTGTTCCTAATTACCCAATTTCTGTAGTCAGTTTTCTTGTTTTCTGTGAGAATGCAATTGTCAAGTTCATTAATTCCCCATTGTGGTTTGGTGACTTTTTTTAAATGCTAATTTTGGTATGCGTGTTAGATATTTTCAGATTTTTTTTTTCTATACCTTATTTTAAAATCAAATTCTGATTCAAGTCGTAACCACTGGTTATGACTATGCAATATTGTATTCCATTCCTTTAAATCCTTCTTTTTATCTCTTCTTTTTTTCCCTTTTCTTTTTTATTTTTTTTTTTAATTTTTAATTTTTTTTTTGAGACAGGGTCTTGTTCTGTCTCCCAGACTAGAGTGTTGTGGCATCATCACAGCTCACAGCAACCTCAAACTCCTAGGCTTAAGCAATCCTCCTTCCTCAGCCTCCCAAGTAGCTGGGACTGTGCCTTGCTAACTTTTCTATTTTTTGTAGAGATGAGGGTGTTGCTCATGCTCAGGCTCATTTTGAACTCCTGGCCTCAAGTGATCTCCCCCACCTCAGCCTCCCAAAGTGCTAGGATTATAGGTGTGAGCCACCATGTCTAGTCCCTTTCTGTCTTTTTTTTTTTTTTTTTGAGACAGAGTCTCGCTTTTGTTGCCCAGGCTAGAGTGAGTGCCGTGGCATCAGCCTAGCTCACAGCAACCTCAATCTACAGGCGTGCGCCACCATGCCCGGCTAATTTTTTCTATATATATATTAGTTGGCCAATTAATTTCTTTCTATTGTTAGTAGAGACGGGTCTCGCTCAGGCTCACGCTGGTTTCGAACTCCTGACCTCGAGCAATCCGCCCGCCTCGGCCTCCCAGAGTGCTAGGATTACAGGCGTGAGCCACCGCGCCAGGCCTCCCTTTCTGTCTTTTTGACAAATATTTATTGAGCACCACTCATGAACTAAGCCCTTTGTGAGATGTTGGAGATACAAATTACTAAGATACAATCCCTGCCCATAAAATACATTCAAGGGTGTTAGAATGTCAACAGAAGCAAACTGATGGTATTTGTTTCTTTAAAAAAAAAGTTCTCAAGTTAAAGCAAGTACTAGAAGTTTACTGTTAATTCAGATATTATTATTAAGACATGTTTCTTACATATTGTATTATGTATGAAATATGTGTGTATGCAGTGAAAGCATATGCAAAACCTTTCAGAATGATGCTTCAGCACTAGTACTCTAACTTATTTATTGCATAGTACAGGCAGCAAATGCAAAAGGAATAAGAGAAAGGAGAGATGGTTGTAGACTCTGGATTCCCAGGTAGGATTACTTCACAGAAAAGATAAGATTTGAGTTGAGCTATGAAATATGGCCGTATAAAGGTATGGAATATTCCAGGTTAGAGAATAGCATAAACTAAGATGTCCAAGTGAGATTAAGCATGATAAAAGTCATAGAAAGGTGATCATATGTAGCTAGTTTATTTGAAAAATGTTTGAGGAAAATGTTCAACAGTGTGCAGTCCGGTTAAGGAGGGACAAAAGAATTGAAACATGGTAGAAAACATTGCATACTCTTTAAGTAGGATTAAAGTGGCATTTTAAGAAAATTGTACTGACAGTGAAGTACAAGGGAGATTCAAGTGGGCAGAACTGTACTGAGATAGTGACAGTAGGAATAGAAAGAAAGAAAAAATTCTGAAATCATAGGCGAAAAAAGGGGGGGAGGGAGAAAAAGTACCATAAGGTCTTGGGTTGAGATTGCAAAGCATATGAAGAAATTTAAGATGACTGCGTTTGTTATTTATCTTCTTTTGAGATGGAGTCTTGCTTTGCTGCCAGGGCTGGAGTGCCGTGGCTATTCACAGGTGTGCACGATTATAGCACACAACAGCCTCAAACTCCTGGGCTCAAGAGATCCTCCCACCTCCGCCTCCTGAGTAGCTGGGACTACAGGTGCATGCCACCGTGCCCAGCTAAAATGATAGTTTTTTAGACTGAGAGAGTCATAATGGTTTTAATAGGACTAGTAGATTTGAAATGCATGTCTGTGTTCAGTAAGAGAAAAAAATGTATGTTAGTTTTGTTTTTTTCTTTTTTGCATCTCATAGAAGTAACACATACTTGTAGAAAATTCAAAGAACGCAGAAGTGTTTGAAGTCAGAAGTCTCTTGCTTCAACCACACCAGTCTCCTCTACTGTAGCTCCCATGCCCTTGCACTGTTAACTGTTGCCTGTATACCCTTCCAGAATGTTCTACGTGTGTTAGCATGCACAGATCCCATTCTTGCAAAGTTTGGAGTCGTCTTCTTCATTTTGCAGTGTGATTTAATTTCAGATACTGAGTTTGAAGTGATCATGGAAGATTTCAGTAAAAAAAAACAAAACAATCCTTCAGGCTATTGAAAATCAGGAATTGGAGTTTTCATAGAAGTTTTTAAAGATGTGGAGAGACCGAATGGGCGCTGTGGCTCTCACCTCTATTCCTAGCACTTTGGGAGGCAGAGGCGGGAGAATCATTTGAGGATAGGCCTTTGAGGCTGGAGTGAGCTATGATCATGTCACTGCACTCCAGCCTGGGCAACAGAGTGAGGACCTGTCTCCAAAAAAAAAAAAAAAAGAAGGAAGGAAGGGAAAGGGAAGATATAAAGACCTTAAGTTCTACTAAGGGTAGGCATAGGAAAAACTTGGCTGTTGTAAAGAAAATATCACTATATGTAACCTTTTATCTTTTTATCTCCATTTTATGAGATGGTTTCTAATTACATTTGAAAATTTATATGTAGATTACTTTTATGATCTGAGTCCTTTTTTGTAAATATTCTTTTTTTTTTTGAGACAGAGTCTCACTTTGTTGCACAGGCTAGAGTGAGTGCCGTGGCGTCAGCCTAGCTCACAGCAACCTCAAACTCCTGGGCTCAAGCAATCCTGCTGCCTCAGCCTCCCGAGTAGCTGGGACTACAGGCACACACTACCATGCCTGGCTAATTTTTTCTAATTTTAGTTGTTTGGCTAATTTCTTTCTATTTATAGTAGAGACGGGTCTCACTCTTGCTCCGGCTGATCTCAAACTCCTGAGCTCAAGCTATCCTCCCACCTCGGCCTCCCAGAGTGCTAGGATTACAGGCGTGAGCCACCATGCCTGGCCTTTTTTTTGTAAATATTCTTAGATGTAAAATATTGATTTGATAGTATGATTCATTTAACAGATATTTATTGAGTGCTAGATATGTGCCACCTACTGTTTTAGGTTCCAGAGATCCATCAGTGAACAACAGAGGGAATATAGTGGACGTTTACTTAATCAATATAGCACTCTAATTATTTGATAGTAAAAACAATGATACTGATGTTTATGGGTCATGTACTTTGTGTTAGCCACTGCTCTAAATACTTTTGACCATCTGTAAACTACTTTTGATATTTTTTCTATGCTGCCTGATTATTAGCGTGATTGTCTGTGGTGTTTTGGTTGGTTGTCAGATCATATTTAAAATTGACTTTAAGAATCAGCTTTCTGGGCCAGGTATGGTGATTCATGCCTGTAATCCCAGCACTTTGGGAGGCCAGGGTAAGAGGATCACTTGAGGCCAGGAGTTCTAGGCCTGCCCTGGACAATATAGTGAGACTTTTTCTCTATACAAAAAAAAAAAAAAAATTAGCCAGGCATGGCTTGCATGTACCTGTAGTCCCAGTTACTCAGGAGGCTGAGGCAAGAGGATTGTCTGAGCCCAGGAATTCAAGGCTGCAGTGAGCTATGATTGTACCACCACACTGCAGCCTGGGCAACAGAGTGAGACTCTATTGCTAAAAGAAAAAAAAAAAATCAGCTTTCTAATATTTAAATAATGTGACACTCTGTTTAAAATCTATTAAATTCTTTTTAATAACTAGGTTTTAAATATATAGTGCATATGATTCTCAGGCACATATTTACTTACTACTTTTTTCCCCTAATACTGTGAAAAAATATTCATGGGATTTTCTTGAAATGGGATTTACTTTTGACTTTGTTTCAGATGGCCGAACAGACCCAATTTTGGATGATGTTGGTGAAGCTTTCCAGCTGATGGGGGTTAGTCTGCATGAACTGGAAGACTATATTCACAATATCGAGCCTGTTACTTTCCCACATCAAATCCCTTCGTTTCCTGTTAGCAAGAACAACGTACTTCAGTTTCCCCAGCCTGGAAGTAAAGATGCCGAGGAAAGAAAAGAATACATTCCGGACTACATGCCACCCATCGTGTCTTCTCAAGAAGGTTTGTGATCGTTGGTTTGTTTCTTCCTCATATAGCAGTGACTATTTTAAGTGATTTTTTCTTTTTCCCACTCTTTCCTGCAAAGAAGGAACTTAGGTGATTTTTAATCTTAGCTTTCCATTGTATGCCAACATATGAATTCCAGAAATGCAGTCAAAATATTTTAATGTTACTTACAAATTATTCTAACCCTTAAATCAACAAACTTGTAACTGACATTACCGGGCAGAGCGGTGGCATAGTCAAGGATATGCCTGACAAGGTATTTGTCTCCTTTGTCAATCTCAGTAGGGAAGAAGAGAACGTGGCATAGAGGGAAGTCTTCCAAGAGATGTATGGGAGTGGGATGTTCAGTAAATTAGACAACCTTTGAAACAAAAAGGAAAAATTGGGGTCGCTCTTTTCCTTCCCCCTTATTATTAATGTGAGTTCAGTGCCATCTCGCTGGGATCAGTGAGTGAGTTGTGCATATTCACTGATGCTATGCGGACGTATTTCTGCTGTTTAACGATGAGCAGAGATGTTTGTTGTTTCATCATATCGAACTTCTGATTATAAAATGATAGCTAATCAGGCACAAATGGTCAGTCCCATTGCAGAGTCCCTTTTTCCTGCATGATTTTACATGTTGATCACGAGGTTCACCAAGATTCTAAAGAGGTGCTTAAGTAATTTGTGGTCTCTGATATAGGTACAATATACTGGTAAAAATAGAAAAGTTGCAATTAATTTCTTTTCCTTTTTTAAAACAATTTAAAACCATAGGTATGTTTCAAGGCAATGCAAGTGATGCCAGAAATATTAATAACTTTTATTTATGTTTTTTTTTTTATTGTGGTAAAATATGTATGACATAAAATGGTCTATTATAACCATTTTATTTTTCCACCTGGTTCTTAGTGTGCAGGGTTTTTTTAACCATTTTAAGGTACACACTTGTGGGACATGAAAGTACCCTTCACATTGTATCACGACCATTACCACCATCTATCTCTAGAACTATTTTATCTTCCTAAACTAAAACTCTGTCCTCATGAAACTTAACTCCCCATTCCCCACTCCTTCCAGGCCCTGGCATCCACCATTCATTTTCTGTCTCCATGAATCTGTCTACTCTAGGTACCTCTTACAAATGCAACCACATAGTATTTGTCTTTTTATGACTGGATTATTTCACTTAGTATGTCTTCAGGATTCATCCATGTTGTAGCATGTGTCAGGATTTCCTTCCTTTTCAAGGCAGAATAATTACATTTACAATTTTAATTTATAATTACAAATGTATATTCTACATTTGTTTATCCACTTACCCGTTGATGGACATTTGGGTCGTTTCCACTTTTGGCTCTTGTGAATAACACTACTGTGAACACTGGTGTGCAGATACCGTTTGTAGGGTCTTGCCCATGGAAGTTCTTTGTTTCTCCTCCTTTCCAGGCACACTGATATTATTAACAGTGGAACTCTAAAAGCTGCAGATGCACCTCAGCCATCCCCAACTTCCCTTAGCAACGGCTTAAAATTCTGTCTCTCCTCTCCCTACCCCACCACTTTGAATATATTTGTATTTGTAGCCTTTATTACCCTTGAGGAAATCTTACTGTTTATATTCTCCTATGTAAAGTTGTTCTATTTAAACCCCTCGTTCAGCCGGGTGCGGTGGCTCACGCCTGTAATCCTAGCACTCTGGGAGGCCGAGGCAAGAGGATCTCTTGAGGTCAGGAACTCAAGACCAGCCTGAGCTAAAGCCAGACCCCGTCTCTACTAAAAATAGAAAAATTAGAGGGGCATGGTGGCACACACCTGTAGTCCCAGCTACCCAGGAGGCTGAGGCAGGTGAATTGCTCAAGCCCAGGAGTTTGAGGTTTCTGTGAGCTAGGCTGACTCCATGGCATTCTACCCAGGTAACAGAGCAAGACTCTGTCTAAAAATATATATATATATATATATATATATTTATGATTTATTAAGCATTCTGGACAACTTCAGGAAAGTGGTGTTATGTTATCAATCTATGATATGTCCTCTTGTACTCAGAATTAATCTTTGTATGGCTCTAAAATTTTTAGTTGAAAAGCCACTTAGAAGTAAGTATACAAAATTGGTAATTATACTGAAAAAAGCATGAATGGTAATCAAATGCTGAGAGAAAACTTAAGGCATTATACAGAGGAAGAAACTAAAGAAAAGACACTACACTAATATATAAGTAATTAGTACATCAGTGATTCTTAGAATGATAAGAGATCATGCATTTTATATCAGTGAATGGACAGTGGTCAAGTTTAACAACCAAGACTTATGTGTACCATCACATGGCATGTGAATGAGCCAGAACTTCTGTCTTCTCCTGTTTTAATACTTTAGCTCGTATTCTCTGTGCCTTTGGGAGCTTTCTAAATCTGCTTTGTGGTTTGCCTATCTTTCTGTCTCCTATTACACCACCTATTTATACTTAAATTGTTTGATATTTTTTCCCTGTTTTAAAAAAATATTTGGAGTCCGATGGACAACATTGGATTAATCCTTTTTTGAGGGGGATTAATCTTAATCCTTGCTTCATGCACACACTTATCATTGGTCCATGTTTGACCTGCATCTATTTCGAGTTAATTATTTTTAATAATAAGCCCTAACAAACTGACTACCCCAAGCCAAAGCTAGGACTTTGATAATAATCTACACTTAACCATTTGGTTCCTCTTGTTTTATTTTTATAGCATGCAAATATCACACAATAAAATTATCTTAAAGTGTTATATATAGTTATCATGTATAAATACTGCCAAGGAAATCTAACTAAGATATCAGATTTATATTGGGTAGTAAAGGAGCGTGAAGAACAATTTAGTGATTATAGATACTGACTTCTGGGCTGAAATCACTGTTACAATAAATTTTGGGGCTTCTTTTCCAGATTATTTGATGCAAAAGAAGAATCTTATTTCATTTAAAGTTTTATGCAGTATAAATTATAAATATTTTAAAAGGAAAATAACATAAGCCTTGAGACTGATACCAGATGTTTTCAGCAAACACTTATGCATCACCTAAGGAGCAGAAATATTGCTGATTCATAAGATATGCAGATGGATCCTAAGGGTGGAATAAGTGATAGGCAATACAGTTAGATGCTTATCAGAACCTTTCTCCCCCATTCATGGGAAAAGGATATAAAATGCAATCCTGCAGTTGCCATTTTTTAATATAGCCACGTAAGTCAACTTAATAAATCATTTACAATCTGAAATTCTTTTCCCCATGGGTGCAGCGTGTCAGACAGTTCTTAGTATTCTGGTTAACAGTGCAAAGTGTGGTACAGAGGTGAACAACTTTGATAATGATACTATTCGCCAAGCTTTTTATTTTCCTTTTACTTCCTTAAGAGCCACAGACAGGGGTAGACTTTGGTCATAAAATATTATTAGTAAAGTACTGCCATGGGGCTCCGCTCTCATCAATCATTCAACCTTGTGCATGTCGGAAAAGCATTTGAAATTTTCCTGTGCAGAGCACTGGGAGCACGGTGGTCAGTGTTGGGGGAACAGGTGACCTGAGGTGGCAGTGGCCGTCGTAGACACCACATGGACTTCATAGAGTTACTCAGACATGACTCAGCGAGTCATTTAGTTTATAGTCTTCCCAAGCTGCTTTACCTTTCTGAACTTTATATCCATCATCTGTAAAAGAGATTTAATAATAACCTGCCATATTGGTGATAGGGAGGAATGAGTGAGATATTTTTTAAGATATTTGTATAAAATAGGACCATGCTTCTTAACACAGAAAGCACATAACAACGTTAGTTCTCTTCTCATTTTTCCTTTCTCTGTCTTAAGGAATCTGCTTTTTGAATTGCAACACGATAATACATGTATGAAGTCACTCTATAATAAGAATAAATGTAAAGCTGTGCATGGTGGTGTGTGCCTGTAGTCCCCATCTACTCTGGACGCTGAGGTGGGAGGTTGCCTGAGCCCAGGATTTGGAGCTTGCAGTGGGCTGTGGTCACGCCACTGCACTCCAGCCTGGGTGATGGAGTGGGACCCTGCAGGGCAAACAGTGTTGTTATTGTCCTGTGCTTAGGAGCTGAGGGAACGTGAACTTAATGGCTGGGCTGGGCAGGCGAAGGTGCTTGACTGAGGAGCTGTTTGATTATGAGCAGAGTGGAGATGATAGAGGAGATGAGATGGAAGAGGCTCTTGCCTACTGTATCCAGTTATATGTTTAGAACTTAGACCTCTTTGAAAATATTTTATACATGCACATTTTCGCTTGGACTGTTACAGTTCTGATGGCTGGTACCCAGTGTGTTTTATCCAAGAACATTCTCTCCCCAGCTTGCCATACATATTTTCAGATTCACACCAAAACCATATTTTTTGCTTCCTATTTTATTGTGCTGAGGAATGTCTGAAAATAGTACCGTGTGCTATGCCAGAGTTATTGTTTGGCTCTCAGAGCGTGGCCACTCTATCACTGGTCAGTGATGGTCCTCTAGGTGGTCTGTTGTTGAGTTCAAAATATTTTCAGGAGAAAGAAAAGAGAGAGAAACAGGAACCATGTGCTCTGTTTTACTTACTGCAGGAAACTTACCAAGCTCAACTTAAACTTGGTGAAGATACTGTGATGTTGCCACTTTTAGGGTTTCTATTTTTTGAAAATTTTAAATAGACTATTTTTTAGGACAGTTTTGATTTACAGAAGAAATTGAGATGATAGTGTGGAGAGTTTTCTTATGTTCTGTTGCCCCTGTTGTTAATATCTTACATGAGTATGGTACATTTGTCATAATTAATGAGCCAATATAGATACATCACTATTAGCTAAAGTCCACATATCATTCAGATTTCCTTAGTTTTAACCTAATGTCCTTTTCCTGTTCCAGGATCCCATTACATATAGTTGCCGTGTGTCTCCTTAGACTCCTCTTGGCTGTGCAAGTTTTTAGGCTTTTCTTGTTTTTGATGACCTTGACAGTTTTGAAGATGATCAGTCAG